TAAACTAAATTCAAATCGTATTGAAATAGCAATAATAAATTGGAAATATAACATTTTTATAAATGCAAAAATACTATATTGAAAATAGCTGATAAACGAGATCTGCTACAGTATCCCCAGACAAACCAATGTGTGTAAAACAAATGTCGTACTATTATTACCACAATAAAACATTCCGTAAAATTCTAAAAGGAGTTCTGATCTACGAAAGTATCTGATCCCAAGATTAGTTGATTCCTTAATTTAATAGTGTGTACAACTTAATGTCTCACATTTCTTATTACCCATAAATTTCCCGTAAAATTCTTTTCAAATAGATTCATTCTACATTTCCTTGCACATCTTCATCGGGGGGGGGGGGTGTATAGAGAGAAATAAAAGAAAAGGATAGTTTGTGAACTTACAACTTTGGTATAAGACTGGATGTAGTTGCCTTAGTGACTCATCAACAGATTCATATTTATTTGTTATAGGTGACCAGTTACTCTCATTTTAGACACCAAACGTAGACACAATTGTAGACACCAAACGGACAAATACGTATGTACGAAATAAATCTTAAATTACGAAACTATAAATTAAAGCAATGTAATAAATCTGCTATTAATATGTTTCCATAACTCTGTATAAGCTTGTACTTCTTGTGTGCTTATCCGTTATGCATTCATCCATTTATATATGTGCCGTTTTGCGCATGTATATGACACATAGAAAAATTTGTAATGACATTTTTGTGGTATTTGCATATGTGTTATATCTACTAGTTATTAGAGGTTATTATATTTTTTGGGGGGTGACAAGAAAAATTTAGCATTTTGCATGGAATTATTATTACTTACTAACTCATATAAAATGCAAGTGCTATTCATTTTATAAGGAATTTTCACCTTATCCACTGCGTGCTCTTGGTAGTTGGTAACATGTGTGGCTAGTTATTGGAAGATACAGATTTTGAATTTCGGTGAGGGCGTACCTGATTTCTCTTATTTCATGGTTTCTAAAAATTGTAAGGCTAATTTAACTTCTCAGGAGAACTCTCCTTCTACAGCAAATCTTAAGCTATAAACTATTATTTATTTTTAATGTATTATCAGAACTAACTTCAAATCTTAAAATAATTTACCTTTTTTATTTCTCTCCCCCCCTCGAAAACGAAACGATTCATTAAACGTATAAAATGATTCATTTAAGACATGTAGTGGTTTAATGTATATTACATTAAATATATAATAATTATTATTATTATCATTATAGCAACTTAAAACAGTTACAAAACATAAAAGCACTTTGATTCCTTAAAAGTTTCTGCATGTTTACTTTTATAGAGAAGCTCAAATATTTTCAGCAACAATCTGTATTTCTTATTTTAAGCACACTAAAAAAGATAATTTGGTAAATTGTATTAGCAATAAAGTGTTATTTTAACCTTATTCCATGTATGAATGTGAAACAAAAAATTTTTCCCTGTAATTGTTTTTTTCTGTTTATTCATCGTTAACTTTTTCCCCCCAACCTGTGACAGTAATCCGCAGGAAAAGGTGCGTAGCTAAGTAACCAAATATAGTTAACGAATAAAAGCTACTGTTTGCATGTCAAGTGTACATAAATAACGCATAGGAAGCGAATAACATATTGCAAATTCGATGTCTTTAAGTCTGTGAGAGACTTATATTTTACTTATTATAGAATTTTTAAAAGGAACGGTTCTCTGTCTAATTTTAAACAAGCGATAAAAATTTGTTTCCTGGTCACAAACTACTCCACCTAACAGCTGGAAGCTCAACAGCTGATTAAACAGCTCTTAATACAGACAAACAACGCAATAAATTCTTTTTAACAGCCTTTTTCTTTTTAATGATTATCCTCTCATTCCAAACATTTCGTAGTTATGAATTCATGCTCATATATTAGTGCCTAAATCATGACATTTTAGTATTTAAGTAAGCATTGTTGTGCACGTATAATATTGCTTTTGTATGCAGCGAGGAACGTTAGCAAAGGAAATTGAATCAAGGTAAGCTTTTTTTATAAATGCATGACCTCAATATTGTCTTCCGAAACTTCTTATTTAAGGTAGCATCGATTTTTAATATTGGTGCATGATCCATAGTGCAGTCAAAATCGAGGTTTATCGCAATTTATTAGCCGTCAAGGCGTGTGTAATTATGATAGGCTTCCCCTTTCTGACGTATAAGAATCTTTATGGATAAAGACGCAGATGCGTGTGAGGAGAAAGAATTGAGATAGTAGATCGTAATTTTTTTGCTGAATAATATTTTGCTCTTTCATCTTATTATATACAGGTAAGTTGAGCGTTAATGTTTTAGACTGAAGTACCTATTGCATAATGTATCTTTTTTTACAAGCTTATGAGTTCCTTTATCTTTAAAATGATTGGTTAAATATTCAAAAGCAGTGGTTCTCATGGACTATCTACATGTATTAAAGAGCGCATGTTGATTTTTAATAATTAAGAAAAATTAAATAAGAACAAACTTCAGGTTGTTTCCATGGACATGCACAATCCTTCATACTGATTATAAAAATGAAATTCAGTTTTCTACTATGTATTATTGGTTTTCCGAACAGAGATAATTTATTTAAATCCTCTTAGTACTAATGCATGCTGTTAGTTACATTTGTGAATATTTAACGTCATATAAATTACGAGATTCCTTATTCGTTCTGCCCACATTAGCCTATTTTTCAACCCCCGAAAAGCTGTTTCAGCAAATAAGTTACGCTATAGATTAAATGATTATATCGGTAATTCCTTAAAGATAGTATTTAAAACAATAAATATTGTTGAAGAGATTAGCGAAGCTTTAAAAAAAGAGAAGGGGTAGCAACTTTCTTTATCGATACAGAAAACGCATTCGATTCGATGAAGTATGAAGTTATGTTATTTACAAAATGGCAGACATAGCATGTCCACCTGTACTTATGATCTATAACTATATCAGCAATAGCAACTGCTGCGTCCCCCAATATCATATTTTTCAATGCATTTCAGATTTAAAGTATATAAATAAATTCGAACAACGGAAGCATCTTTCAAATTTGTATCAAACTTTAACAAAGGAAAATGAATTTTGATTTCACTTAAGTCTTAATACTTAAGGTGATTAAAAAAAACCCATTCCTGTTACACTGGATTTAATTAAAATTTAATAATACTTTTACGTTTCACTCCTCAAGATAAATATTGACTATCATAATTGACTTGAAAACTAGAATGCCCTATTTATTAATTAATATCTAGCGGATCAATGAAGGCAGTATATTCTTTGTTATTCTTATTTAAATAAATTCTTCGGACTGCTTCTCCATTGGTATTAATAGAAATATTTTATAAATCTGTAAATTAATACCCGCAAATGGATTGTAATTCAATTAAAAAAAATGTTTTTCTTTAAATAAAATTTATTTTTAATAGCTTAAAGAAGCAGCGAAGGAAACAAGATTGATAACTGATTAATGAATCCATCATTTAGTATAAAAGTTTAACTATGTAAAATTACTTAGCTAATTCTCATAGCGCACAATTAATCAGCTTTGAGATGAATAGGTTTTTTTAATGTCGCGATCTGCTCTAAAGCATCGGTGCTTTTAATTACGAGACACTAGAATTTTAAAATTAGCTTTTTTAACTAATAACTGTAGCTGATGTAAGTTTAATTGGTAATTAAATGACTCAGACTGAAATGATGGGGAATTGCTTAGAGGCACCACTATAACCGCCAGCTTTGCTTTCTATATGAGGGTATTAAATATTTATTTAACGAACAGCTATAAAATGTCAGAATTTTTTTTAAAAATGTTAGTTTTTAAATAATTGTAATATAAGATTTTAATTAATAGCTGTATTAATAAGTGTGCGAAGCTGCAAGAAAGCTCAGCTGCATGAAAATATTTTTTTTATAAGTTAAGTATATTTTAGAAACTTTGGAAGCGTTTGCCGTCGTACAGGTTCAGCTGCTAAAGAGAAAATAAAAATTGGTTAGCAATTAAATTATTGAAAACAGAGAAAGGATTCGAAATTTTGGGTAATTTCCTATTAGTAGCTATTGTTTTACTACTATGATTGGAGGATGTATCCGATCCGAGTAATTTCGTGTTATCATTTAAAATATTTTAGTTTTCCACATTATTTCGTGTTATAAAAATGCTATAATAGTAATTATAAGCTGATGTTCAGTATCATGCCGTTTAAAGTACAGTATTATTAAGCATATTTTTGTCTACCTGAATTAGAAAACAATACATGTAAAATTTTTAATAACTTATGGGGTATATGAATTATTTCAAACCTGTTTTTCAGACAGGATTGTATTAACATGAGATTCAACTTTGAAAATCTGTTTAGTCGAAAGATTTGGTCTTTAATTAATATTTATTTTAATTTTAGATTAGTGAGATCCTGCATGTATATAATTCTTAAAAAAAAAAGAAAGATGATAGCATTATATTTTATGGGTACATTTGAAGAAATTTCATATGTATAAAAATAGCTTAAAATTAAGAATAGTGAAAATAAAAATAATGAATATGGGTCAGGAAAAGTATTTTTCATAAAATAATAAAACAAGAAGTAAAACATAAAGACGGAGGGAACAGAGACTTGCAGAATGCGCCATATATGTTAAAAATAAAAACGCTCATTGTGTTTCATAAGATAAATTTTAGCCAAAAATTAAAAAAAAAAAAATAATAATAAATATCTATGCATATTTTCTGCGAATTCCAGTAAACTTGTTTTTTCCGTAATATAATGAAATTTCTGAAACTGTTGAAGAGAATTTTACGCTATTACACGTTTAGCCACGTAGAACTGTTACTTGAGAACCACTGCTGAAGTTAATATGATTTATCCGCATTAATAATCCCCAATATAACTTATGGGGCTGAAAATATTTTCTTTGAATTATTAAATGAGTTAAGATTCTTTTTGAGCCGCATAATCAAAGCAAACTCAGTAACAACTACTCTTCACGTTGCAGTTTTAGGAGTCAAGAGAAAAAAACCATTTGGTGAAATAATTTTTGAGCTGAAATGTATTGACAACTAGATGGTGCCCCATTCACGGTCCTTCAGAAGCTTGTAACTACGGTAAGCTATTTCTCACATTTTTCAATACATGTGAAATTTTTTTTTAGTTGAATGTGTGGTATTTTGTAAGATTTGTTATGTTGTTGCGTATGTATTATTATATTTAAAAAAGTAATTTTATGCTTTGTTTCTGATCTACTCCAACTTTTTAACTGAGACATAAGTTTCGAAATATTCGGTCATAGGACAATTTTACAAACAGATGACATTAGGTAAGATTTCTCATTTTTATTTTCACAGTCAGCTGTGGATTTTTTTCTTGCCGGGGCTTTCGGTAAGTATGTCATCTTTGTTTGATAGTGCTTTCAATCTTTTTTTTTTTTTTTTTTTTCTTCCTTCTTCTTTCTCTTCTATAAGAGCAATGCTTTCATCGAGGAGAGAAAAGAATTAATTTCCAAGACAGAAAAAAAAAAAAAAAAAAAAAAAAAAAAAAAAAAGTGTTTTTACTAATTCCAAAGAGAAGGAATTCCATTCGTGTTTAACATTTCCAAATGTGATACGAATAATTTTTTTTTTTCCTTTTTTAAGAAAATGTAAGGAATGTTTAAACGGTTTCATAGTTCTGTACGTAAAAATTGTAAGTATGTATTAAAAATAATACACTAAAATTGTTTCTGAGACAATTATGCACTTTTGAAGTAATATGCTTATATACTTTTGAAGTATTTTTTAAATTGATGTACAGAATTTTCATGTATATAAATGTAAATAAAAGAGCGAAAAAATTGAAGCTGTGTTACGCGTGTTTAATAAATTCAACCTGAAGTGGGAAGAAGATAATATATGTAACGAGAATTCAGCAATGTATACGTAAATGAAAATTTTTATGCATTTTGAACTTTTATATTTACTTAAAAACTACATTCCTGATAATGAAATAATCTTTAAACATTAAAAGAATTTTAGTTCGTTTTTTTATCGCTGTCATACAAATTTCTTTACGCTAAGTAAGATTAATATTTCGTTCTTTGATTCTTTGACTCGACAGCTTGGTGTTAGTTGCATATTATTATTTAAATATATTTCAATGAAGGTTTTTTTTAGGACATATTTACAAAATTTGATCTGTTTGTAGTTTTTTAGTATTAATTGAACTGTTTGAAAATTTATTAGCAATATAATCTATGTAGTACTTTTCCAACTGTTAAAAAGCATCATTAATATTTTTTTCGTAGATCATTAATAATCTTACGGGACAGACATTTTTAGTTGTATTAGGCAGCGAAATTTGATTTATGTATAAAAGATAAGAAAATTTTTTTGCAATTGGAATACATACATGAGATGAACTGTAGGTCGAAAAATTTATCGAGAGCTAACAAAACTCTGAAAATTTTTTGAAGTTCATAGTTATCCGATTCTGACAAATACTCTTGAGTGCGTTGCCATAATAAATATATAAACTTACTCTGCAAAGAATGGCAACATCTCGCAAAGTCGTATGTCCTTTTAAATTAATCCAGGCTCTGAAGCACGAATCTTTTATCTTTTTATAATAATGCTTTTTTTGCGTTTCATTATTTGTATTTTAATCTTAAAATGAACTCGCTTAAAATAACAGACTAAAAGGAAATTCATTGCGATTGGCAATTAAATTATGTATTGTTTCTTTGTAATAAACCCAATTATATCGCATTTTAAAGCATTTCATTTTTGTGGTTAGATAAAGCAATTAGATATTTCAAAAACTATGGTATACATTGGTATGCATCTGTCTGAAGTTCTTTAGTAGCTGTCTTTTAAAGCTACACAAAACTTAATGATGAGTTCCAACAAGGAAATGGTCTCGCAAACTGGCATTTTAGTTTTGAAAAAGCTGTAATTAAATTGAGCTCTTTAATAACTTTAAAGCTGTGACCAAAATATTATTAATGGTTAGAATTTTTGAAAGACGATAGGAAGGAGTGTTCTTGCTTATCATAAAAATGCTTAAAATGAGGTTAGGAAGTTCCATTGAAAAGACCAAAATATTTATACAATAATGTTTTTATATAAAATTATATTCAGCCAAGAGAAACCATAATAAGTTTTTAGAAAAAGAAAAAAGTTACCTGAAGCACTTGCTTTACCTTCTTAAAGTGGCAAAAGGTGATATATGAATGAAATGAGGGGATATTTCATGAACAGGCCGAACCGGGAAACAAATTTATAAATCTTACCCTGTAAGGCTGAAATGTGAATAAAACTGTCAAGGCTAAATTGGGATTGGCTGACCCCGCTACAGATATTTCTGACATCAAATTATATCCAGTATTGAGAATATGGGCGAAAAGAAATGACACAGCGTCAGGGTCGCTAGCGCCAGGGCAAATGTGGCTGCACCGGGCGGCGAAATTAGCGGGGCAAACTGTCTAGTGTCAGCACTTCGCAGCATCTTGATCAGATTTCAGATTCAGTGTTCACATCCAAGAGATTAGCCTTCATTTGCAAAATGCAGTCTGATGAACCATAAATCGTTTGCGAACCCATACGAGCCCGAAGACATTCGTGATCACGCATCTTAAACGGCAGCTGACTAATGTACATTTATAATGTAAATTTTTACCAAGGTATAAATCTTATGTCCTGCTTGTTTATGTTATTAAATTTTTATTCATAGAAACCTGTTAACTCGTTCGCTGCCAAAGCTGATCAAGTCCATTCACACGCGTAAGATCCTATCTGCATTTTTATGATTTTAAATTAGTAGTTCAAAGGGGCGATTTGCTAGACGGACTATTAATTTCATTTTGGCATATTTCGTTGATTCGCTATAAGCGGCGAATCACTTTTTAAATTGTTGTCTCTAAATATTAGAGCCCTGTGTTATATTTAAAGAAATAATAATAAATAATGAAGAATCTGCATAAATGTAGGTGTGTTTCTCGCATTGTGATAAAACAACGGTAAGTAGAGCTATCAAATTTTGAATAATGTAATCCTCCACCGAATATGGGCACCTGGAAGCTCGAATTTGGAATTTATTTTATTATATTTTGTACACTTTAACGAATATTTGATTAACAAACTCAACGATTCCAAAGCGAGCAGTGGCAACACTGTACGGGGCCAAAAAAATTATCTCCATCGCGCGAGACTGTGTATCGGAAATTCTAAAGATATGCTTATTTAAAAATTATTTTGCGATATTGCTGTTGATTTGAATTTTATGGTTTAAGTGCGAAGAAAATAATTTATAAGTAATAAATAAAGCTAACTCTCAAAACGTTTAAAAAAAAGCCCCTTTGGACGTAATGTAAAATCTGAAGCTTTCAGATTTTTTTTTTTTTTCTGCTTTATTATTTAAATACAGGCATAATGGATTACTTTTAGTAGTAACTAAATTCACACGCGTGCCTAGTTGGCATATGAAATAATATTTCTGCTCTCAGCGGCAAGTGCTAGATGAACAATACTCACCCTATCTAGACATTCGCACAAAACTCCTCCGTTGCGACAAGTTATTTTTTAACAGCCTTACATGAGTCACCGAACAAGAACTCGAGCAGTCTGCTTATAATGTTTTCTAAATGAATGAATCAAAGAAAAAGATGATTTTGCATTCTAAACATTTAGTTATGTTTTTTTTTAAAGAAATGATCCAAGTGATTATTAAGTTCTTCCTGCACGCCAAATTCCTAAGCATTGACTGCATTTTCTACGCCAATACTCGCAATACTCGTTCATTTAGATAACGCGATCGATAACGAGTTATCTCGTATCTGGCAAGTCAACCCAGTTTGCCAACTATGAGTATTCTTGTAGATGTCAGCAAACATGTTAATCGGTGTATCACCATATATAAACGATATGAAGGCACTAATGTATTCAACCGCACAGAAAGGCCACATCCTCAGGTCATTTGTATAAAGATGGACTCTAAGATTCCATCACACAAATCTGAATGAAAATATAAGTTCATATGGAGTAAATTATTCACTTGAAATCTATAATTCTTTGTAATTATTCTATATAAAAGTAATTATTTTAACAAAGCATGCATGTACACGTTATTTCGTTTAGTTTTATTTTTTAATTTTGTATTTTAACTCCTATCCCAGATTCATTTTATTTATTTATTTTTTGAATAAGTATCAACGTTTCCAAACGTCTAAAAGTAATGCACAGGATATATTTTCATATCTACTCTTGCGTACAACATAACTTAAAATATGAAATGTGTTTTCTTCCCCACTGCTTCGCTAGACTCATTTCTTTCCTGCAGTTTGCGTATCTCTGCAGCTGGGCAGTCCACAGAATATTTTTACAACTATTTTTCATACCTGCAGACGTTTTCCTTCCAAAGGTAGTTTTTCATATTTTTCCACGGAGTACCCGTGAGCATTTTCTGTTTAGAATACTTTTTCGGTTCCTTTGAGCCTGTAAAAAAGGTATTAAAAAAATGAAGTAATAGACGATCATATTTTTCGAGGAATGGATGGAAAAATCACACATACACACATATAACAGGAAGTTGAGAGTCGTAATTCATTTTTCTCTGAGAAATAGCTGCAGAATTCCTGATAAGAATTTCCTCCATTCCGAAATAACAATTATTTTCTGACACTTAAAAACTTCAATCTGCTTTCCAAAGCAGGTTTCTAAAACTTTTTCCCATTTCTGTAATTTGAAAGAGAAATAGCACTACACAAATAACACGGAGGAATTCGCAAAGATAATAAACAAGAACTTTATTCACAATATTTGGAATAAATCTCTTTATATATTGACGAAAACAAAATAAATGTGGGCTTTAGAGAGAATGCGCACGTGCTTAAGAACAGAATTTCTCCTAACTTCATAATAAGAGCAATCTTTTTCACTATACTCTATTAATCCAACAATGAGAAGCATTCTGCTATTGAAATAACTATCTAAAGTTTTAAATTACTTCAAACTATTCCAAAACTATTATCTGCAAGAGAGGCACGCCATTTAGAAATTATTTTTGTTTCTTGAAAAAGGGATATCCCTGCTATTTTCCTTTGAAATGCATAAATGTTTTATATAAAAAAAGATCA